GGGGTTGCGAGGGCAGCAACCCCGAGTCCCCCTTCGCCATCTGCTCCTCAAGCTGAGAGCAGCAGCCCCCAGAGCAGCTGCACAGCTGCCTGCTCTCCCCCAAGCACCATCAGCGCTGAGGAAATACAGCACCCTGAAAGGAGAAGGGGGAAAAGCTTCACACAATTCAACCGATTATTAGATTACATCTCAAGGACAGTGGTGAGAGGTATGTGTTACATACCTCGGGGGCTTCTGTCAGTTATACCGATGCTGAATTATGGCGAATAAAGAATGCTACCATAGTCATCGTGCCATTTTCTAATGAGATTATTTCTACAGAGGTCAGAAACACTCACATGGCTCGTGGATAAAATACTTACCAACAATCATCAGTCGATCTGAAACTTACTGAATGCTGGGAAACCATCTGTTTGGACTATTATATCCACATTAATGATGACATATGTGTGCATGGGTTAGACAGAGTAAGCAGATGTGGCAACTAGAAAGGAAGATTGCTGCAAACAGCATTCATTTGCAGATTTAATGAAAAGTTTAGACAAAAGGTAAGAGTGTTATTATATTACATTTGCAAGAGTTGTTGAAGATGGTAAGAAATTGCTAGAATTTGCTTCTCTTAAACAGCCCAGAGCCAGTGACTTCAGAAACACATAATATGCACATCCCAAATACTCTTTCCATTTCTTAGCCAAAATCTTGTGCCATTGGTCGAAAAATCATCACTACCTGTTTAAGCATTTTTGTGTTCATGTGTGATCCACTGACTAGTCCCTCCTCCACAGCTGTAGACAAGTGTTCAGAATATAGAAACAATCAATGTAAATGACATAACCTTGTTGGTTTTTCCCAGAGTCTAAGAATGGCTGTAGGCACATCACAGATCTCGCTACTGCACTGCCTCTTTCCTAGCAGGGACGGGTAGCAGCTACTCATGGAAAGAAAATAGAAACCAGGACAAATACAGAATAATCTTCTGCCTACAAAGTGGTTCCCTATAGAAAAGGCCAAGCTGACTAGGGGAATGAACGGGAAACATCAAAGATACCAACCTTTTTGCAGTCCATCAACAGGTAGAGGGTGGGAGAGGTCACAGTGACCCCGGGAGTAGCTTTATGCAACATTTCAATCCCAATTGCAACCTCAAACCAAGGTTTGACAGAGAAGTAAGTTTTGAATACAAAGTTGAAAAAGGAGTTTTACACAGGCTCGAAGGACTGTGAGTTCCAATATTAACTGAAGGGAGATACCTGTGAAATATTTTAGACAAGAAAAAGAAACTGGGGCAGTCATCATGTGTCCCCTTAGTCAGCCGGGAGAATTTCTATCATAATACGTCTATTGTCAGTACTCCTGTATTATATGAAGCAACGTTAGGGTAGGGAAATTCCTCATTGTTTTTCAAACCCAAACGAGAACTGAGCATAATATTTTACAAGTGAAAACTATACTACCTGCACAGTCACATTTCCTGCTGCAAAGGGAGTAGGAACTTGATCTCTAAGTTTTGGAGAAGGCAATGTTTAGAAGGTATCTCTAAAGTCAGTGTACAGACAGATTAAAATCTTGACTCTCCCATCCTAAGGCTGTAAGTCTAGAGGGAAACAGTGGTAGCTCAGATATCACTCTGCAATAATTACTGCCAACAATTTAGTTTTCTAAAGGCAGTAATTCTGGTTTTAGAACAACACAGAAAATTGCCTCCATGCCCCTGGTATGAAAACTTTGCCCTAGCCAACATACCTCATCATAAATTATCTGGTAAGGAGAAATCCTTTAGAAGCCATGAATGGTGTTGCAGGACCAATTCACTAAATCTGCCATAACACACTTGAGAGATAATTGATATGTCAAGCCTCATCAATATCAACCTACTTAAAGTAAGGACAAGAGGAGAGGGGAAGAATGATAATGAATAATACCATTATGTGAAGCTAGTTAACTTATAGCTTAGAAACAGATACGTATCAGTCACCAATCTGAACGTCCTTGAATTTCATGAAAGTCTGAACTTATAAGCAGTCTTAACTCCTTAAAAAGCTTCTTTCCATAGAAATTGATTATTTGTTGACAGAGTAGTAGTCTTTTTTTCTATTTTAACTTCCAAGACTTAACCTTTTTTTCCAACTTTACACAGGAGGTAAAATAATGAGTTTGGACAGCCTACAGGACACATCAGTAAAATATTATTTAAAAAAAAAATCTCTTCCTGACCAGGCAGAGGAAGCAAAGTGTCAGATCTCTCAAGAGCTCCAAGCCTCAGAGGAGGTTTCTGCCAATTTTCAGCGCTACGAATTTGTTCTCTGTGTCATTCTCAGTTACTGGTTGTATATCTTCTCCTAATCAATACACATGCATATACATCCCACATGACTTTCTCATCAAAGGTCTTGCATCGCAGTTATTGTCCACCCACTTTGAAAACTGATGTTGAACACAACCCCGTTTCCTGTTCCCCGTCTATTCCTTCCTCTCTATCTCTTTTCTCATTTCCCTCCCCCTCCACTTCTCCTTGTGACATCCCCCTCTCATAAAATATTGTCTCACTCTCTCCATCTGCTTCTTCAGCCATCTGCTCACTCCTTCCCTCCCTTCTTGCTGGGTTACTCCACAGTCTCTCTAGTGTAGCTCCATAGTCTCCCTGTAGCATCACTAAAACTCTTTTTCTTTTCTTCTTCTGTTCAAAGATAACAAGTACAGCGAGCTTTCCACTCTAGGCCTTGATGGAGGGGAGGGTGCAAAATAAATATCCATGAGTTTAATAATCCTCTGCCTTGACAACTGTAAGATCCTTTGCAAGCTTCATGTTTCACACTGCTCCTCTTCATTTTATCCAAAACGCCATGGCCAATATGATCTTCTTTCCTTGACAGGATGTTCTGGCCATTTCATCCCACTTCTTAAGTCAACCTCATTAGCCACCTACGTCCTACAGGATTTTCAGATTCCCTATCTTCACGTCCACTGTCCTGAGCAGCTCCGTCTTCTCGCCTGGCACCTGGTGCCATCCTCTGCCAATTCTGCTTGGTTTGCTTTGATCTCATCTCACAAGCACTTCTGTGCCTTCTCCTATTCAGACATTCTCTGCCTGGAATCAGCTCTTGAAGCTGATTACTACTCCATTTCCCTCTTGCTCGCCCTCTCTTTTCTACTCTGTCAAAGACTGTCATCTTTTCCACACACAAAACTAGAGAACCCTTCAATTCCTGATAGAGAGGAAAAATATTACATTTAAATACCATCAAACATCCATTTCCAAGTCTGTGCCTTTCTTCCTTCTAAAACACCTGGCTTTCTATTATTCATTTGATTTCCCTGTTTTGCTTCCGTTCATAATCGTTCACCTCCCAGTACCCGCATTATACATTTCTTTATGCCTAATCATTTCCTGTTCAACCCCTTCGTTTATGCCTTCTCTCTGTGTTTTTCAGTGAACATAGCAGGTTACTACCAGATCTTGTTCTGCCTGAGAACAGCCTACCTCATTCCGGGTGATAAACAAGTAACATATAGCAATTAAAATTCGGGAAGGCAAAATCAGAGAGATGGCGTTGACTTTGTTTTTCCCCTCCCTCTTCACCTCTCTCATTAGCTACTGACATTTGGAAAATATCAACCAACTCTAATAAACAACAAAAATCTATCCCAGTTTCCTAAGAACCCGAGGCTTATATGATCACAGCCTGCCAATCAGTTCCATCCTAACCACTTTTGTACCTGTAAGTCAGTATCAAACAAGTAATACGAAGACAGTAAGGACCCACAGGTTATCAGTGGTGAAGCAAAGAGAAACCCAAATTAGCATCCTCATTAACTGTGGGATGCGGCAGCCAGCTGGCCTGACCAGCAGAGTAGTTCAGGCCACCCATCAGTACGTGCCTGGCTTGGGAGCAGCCAAAGCACCTCTGGCACGTGCCCGGCGCATGGTAAAGGGAGGGAGCTGGGAGCACCGAGGGGAGTATGGTAGAAGAAATAACTCTGTAAAAGGCAGCCTCCCTTAGTTTCCCTGCTTACAGTGAAAGGATCAGGGGTTTAGTCTTGAATTATTTCACGTAACACCAAACCACTGCCTATTTCAACTTTTCCAGATCCTTTTCCAGAAGATCGTTAAGAACATAACTCTGATGCATTAATATCTATAAAACAGATGAAGCTTTTTTTTTGTTTGTTTCTCCCGACCAGGAAAGAAACAATATGCTCTCTACCTTTTCTGAATTATACTGGGATTTGCAGTCACCAGCTGGGTTTTCGATCCAACGTCCTTGCTGTATTCACTGGATAGAGGAGGAAGGTTGCACCTGTGCACAGAAAGACAGTCAAGATTTTAAATGACATTCAGGATTGGCAGGCTTCAACCTCAGTCTTTTTTGATCTGAAAGTTTGCAGGTGTTTATGCAGAAAATGTAAAAGTGCTGTATAAATACTAGACCAAGCTACAAATGTTCCCTACTGTACCACACCTATAAGCACAATAGGACATTTTTGTACCAGATTGTGGGGAGATGTAGAAATAAAACCTTTTGCTGAGATGGTCTTATGTAACTACTAAGCAAAAACAAAGACATATAGACTTGGCATTTCCGACAGGCTGAAAGGCTGTGGAAGGGGCTGTTATTATCAATAGCAAAGACTTTTTTTCTCCAAATTCTTTTAAAGTTCTGTCTTGTTTATCAGTTTATCAGTACCAGGCTCCAGACTGTTACCACCCTGTGGTATTACAAGCATTACACGTCTTGCAAACAATGGGCGACGGGCATTTTTCATATTACACTGCGGGGTATCTTCAGCATACAGAATTTACCAAGAAAACACAGAGAAAAATTTTAAGTGGCTATTTAAATATGTGCATCTCAGTTCTGCTCACAGTCTTGTTCTGGTGGGCAGGGTGATAACGTAATAAAGAGAAAGCGACTGAGCAAATTTACTTTGGAAAGCAGGTAGCCAAGACTCCAAAAAACAGAAGTAGAGAGAAACTTCCAGACAATGAACAGTCCTAAATGCTCCCTAGTAAAGACCTATGAGAAGAAGGAAGGCACAGTAGATAAAGATGAAAATACATTCAAACAGTATCCAAGCCTATGCACTGCTCCAAAAGTTAGTTAAGAGAAATCTATTCAAATACAGAGTAATTACACCAAAAATTGGTGTAAAAATATTTGTCATTTCAAATTTGTCCAACTTTTTACATCAAAGATAGGAACGATATTTTTATTGTTTAAAAGGCAAAAATGAAACCAGGATTCTCAGAGACAAGTAGAATTTGAAATTTTTTCAGAAAAAAACTTTTAGTTTTTTACGTTGTTGGGTTTTGGGGGTTTGTTGGGGGGGTTTAAAAAAAAAAAAAGTTTGTGGCTCTACCATAACCAAATTTGCCCTCCAATTTTTAAGTTCAACCACTGAATCAAGACATCCCCATTTGCATGTGCTGGTTTCATTGGTTTTCTGCAGCACGCTGGAAAAGCACAGCACAGAGACAGAGTGCACGAGGTAAGAAAAGGCAAGGGGCATCCTCGGGCACCAGCTCCTGCCTCTTCCTGCTCCCACTGAGAGCACGTGCTGAGCAAATGCTGACCCTAAAGAAGGGAGTCAAGCAGCCCCTGGTTGCTTTAAGCTCTGCAGACAACCACCCCCACAGAGGACGAGGCCCCAGCACTGGAAAAGGGCAAGCAGCGGCGCAGAGAGGAGTTGTTTCATGTTCATAACTTCTCTCAGTACCAGGGAGACGTGGTTTCCTTTGCTGCATGTCTTACGCCTGTGAAGAGCTACGCCATTTTTCTCACTGTCTTCTCCATGAAACTTTCTGCAGCACTCCACTTCTGCGTGCATCCTCCAGGCAGCTGGCCTCAGTCATGAAGCCCTTGAACCCAACAATGAGTTGCTTATCCAATTTTTTTATCTTAATAATTCAGAGGCCCATTTCCTACACTAGTGAGAGGTGGGAGCTGGGGAAGTGAGCTACGGTTCAGTTTTTACGGCAGTTTCCAGGGGCCACTGCAGAAACTGTTGTGCTCTTGCACTACAGGTTGCCATACTCTTCCGCCACGCTGGGAAAATCAGTCTCGTCACAAGGAAAGCCCTTGCTTCCACAGCAGTCGCTGCCTCCATTAGCATTTTCACTGACCTCTGCAGCATTCGGAGAAGGGATCCAGGCGCTTGCGACAGCAGAGTGCAGCAAACGAGGCTGCACAAATTCCCAGCCGCACCTCCACGTGTTACGGTTTTGTGCAATGTCAGTGCCCGGAGAGGGCACTAGCGTGCACACTGTATACTCCCTGCAATGTCTGTTAAAGCAAAACATCCCGCAGCTTTTAAGAAGCCATTTTGGGTTGAAGTTTATTTAAAAGCACTATGGAGGACCAAGATCTCTCCCTAGTTTTTATCACCTTACCATCTCAATAATGAAATTTCTCTCACAAGTCAGTCCGAGGTGCATTATTTAAACACATCTAATTCCTTTCATCAGTAAGTCTCATTCCTAGCTTGTTCTGCATGAAATATTAAGAAATGGCCTGAGTATCCAGAGGAAACTCAGCAAGAAACCAGTTGATTGACAGAAACTTCTTGGCCTTTCAGATTATTTTGTTGACCAGGTCAGCAGAGCGCTGAGTGTTGTGAAGGTGAGGAACACACCAAGAAACAAAAGATACATCTTAAGAAACGTCTCTAATTAACAGCTGCAAGGGTCAAATGAAAGGATCCTTCAACCCTCACCAGGCAGAAACAGCTCTTCTGGGTTTGGCTAAGACAGAAGTCCATGTCCCACAGCGCAGAGAATCCAGGCAACTTGGCTGGGCAATGGCATGTGCATTTGGTGGGTGCTATGTGATTATCTAGCTATTTTAGGATGTTATCTATGCACATATACTAAACACTAGGGACTAATATGAATTTAATATGTAATTGCAAACATTCATTTTTATTCCTTTGTGGCACCTTGGCTAGCATCAACACAATAATTGCATAAGGCAGCTGAAAGCCACGTTTCTCTGGACTCGTCTACAAACCCCAAAGTGCCACCACATTTAACCTCCCCAGCTCCACCTGGGCTGGTACGGCTAGATGGCACGGCACAGTGTGATTAAAAGATAACAGCTTGGCCTCCCCGAACTGGGACAGCCACTAGTCAACTTGAAATAGTGACAAGTTGCTTCTAGTTTTGGAATAAACTCACCAGCAAACAGCTTGGAAAACTCCCTGCGATCCCCTGCTATTTTACAGAGAGAAACCCTCTCCCTGGGAGATGTGCAAACCACAGCAGAGCCATGGAAAGTGGTTGGGGGAAAGGAAGAATTGTGAGATGTAGAAATATTTCTTCAAAATCTAATGCCAAGAAAACGTGTCCTCTATCAAAATACACATAAAAACATTGCTTAGGGTTTAGTACCCAACACTTCTCTCTTAAAATAAGCGTTAGCAGGAAGGGAGAGGGCAAATCAAAATTTTTTCTTAGAAATAAGGATTACAAACTCGAAAGCCAGCCAGGTATCAGAAGAGCCTATTATAACCGCGCTACCTAAACATGTAGACCATATGCCATGCACCTTTTTCATTGCAGATGCAGTGTGCTATGCCTTAGGGGCTGAAAACTGCTGCTCTTTTAATCTCTATGTTGGTACAACTGTGTGTGTAGAAGACGCTCAGCAACGAGATGAGTTTAAACTCATTAATTAACCTTAGTGATTACAATATATCAAAGAAGATGGCTGCAGTCATATGACAGAGTTTATGGAAATACATGTAAGTGAAATCAAAAACCATGTGAATGGAAGAAAAGAACAAGGGCAAAACCTGGCATGATATTTCACACTGCGGAAATACTTTAAAGATAATACACAAATTTCTTTTAAAAAAATGAAATGTTTTAGTGACGCAAGTCACTATTGTGCTCTTTCTCTCTCAGCTCTCAGATTATAGAAAACAGATTTAGAAAAGATCAACTAAATCCCATCTTCCACCTGCTATAAAAATATTTTCTCCCAGTGGTATATTAGCATCTAACCCAAAAGAACCGAAACATTTTCCATAAATATGGCTGCACATTACTAATACAAGACAGCCTGCAGGCAGCTACTGGGATTTTTGCAGGATTTTCCCTATCACTTATTTCCAATTCAGAATAAGTTCTGTGCAGATAATGGTTGCTTTACCCTCCCTGGAGAGAAAAGGATTTTTCTGATCAAGCTACACCAACTGCTGTTCTTTCAAAAAAAGTTTCTATTGTTTTTGTAACTGATTGCTCCTACAGCATTTCAATTTCCCATTGCATCTAGATATTACCACGGTATATACCCTGCAGTTTCTTGTATTTGGTCTGTGGAACACCTAAGGAGTTTTGCAGTAATGGCAATCAGCACACTGCCTTTCTCCCCCTGTGCCTTACATCATCTCTTCTGTGAATGCTCTAAGTATACGTTTCCTTTTGCCTTTAGTTTGTTGTATTTCTTTGCTTTAACATTGAAGGCATTTTTTCGTCTTTGAGATGCAAACCAGAAATTACAGTAATACTGTTTGGCTTGCAGCAAATTTGTATGGCTGTATAAGCAGCCATCAGGATCTAATAAGGAGACTTGCTAAAGTGGGTGTTCATTATGCAAGCATCTCAAAACCCAAAGAAACTCCATTTCTCATCTCTTTGGGAGCATTCCTCCAGCTTCTCCCTCACAATGGTTTTCGCATTCATGTTTAACAGGGAGGAACTAATTTCTGACTTTCTTCCTTAAAGAATACAGACCTAGAAAGTGCCAAATTCAATCATGGAAGCAGTAGCTGGTTCAACATTCCTCCTGACAGGTTCTTATAACTTCAGGAAGGCTGGAGGGAAAGGAAATGTGAGGAATCCCAAAAACCCTCAGTCTTGAGGGATGAAAAACACAGAAATAAGCTTGTTCCAACTTATTTCTTAGGCCTTGCCCCATAATTGAGTTCAATGGATTGCATATGATGGCATTTAGAGTTGCAGAGGACGGAGCACAGTGCAGGATGAGACCCTGCCTAACATTGCATAAGTAAAGAGAAAAGCAGCTCTTCAGTATCCCTCTGTGACACTGCACAATCTGTCACAACCTTAACCCATCCATCAGCAGATTGCCCCCACACTACCCACACATTTGCTGAAGCCAGTCAAAACTCTCTTTTTTGCCTCTCCTCACACTTTTACCCAAATCACTTGTGTAAAGCATCCTGCAAAGGGGGGAGGGGAGGGGAACAAGGCAAATTATAATTGATTAATCACAACTGAATAGCTTTGAAAAGTCCAAGACTTAGCAGGGGGAAGGGGAGACAATGTGTCATTGAGGTTTCTGTCTTACCGCATGACAAAATCTGCTTGATCTATTTGTTTGCCGCAGCCGCTCTTTTTCAGGATCCCACCGTTTCCCACCACGGAGCATTTCTTCAGTGGCAGCTGGAAGGGAGTAGCCTAGCAACACAAAACAAGGACCAGTTTTACAGAGGAGAACACACGAATCTTTGTAGCAGCCGCTCCTGGAGAACCCGGGGAGCTGGCAGGACTCAAAGTGATGAAAGAAAAGGGAGAACTAGGAGCTAGGGGGAAAAAAAAAGAAAGTACATAAATTAGCTGGTAAGTAGACATAGGACAGGTCTTGTCCCCACTCCCCAAACCAGGACACAACAAATGTGATACAGAAGATAACAACATCCCTGCAAAACGAAAACTGCCTGAAGTCCTGATGCAGATACTGACCAAGCCAGGCGGTCAGGTCAGAATGAGCCTTCTAGCCAAGCTGCAAGGACACCAGGGAAAAAGACAACCAGGAAAAAAAGGGAAAAAAAAAAAAACATTAAAGTGACCTTCCTGAGCTGATATACAAAACACAGCTCTGGGGAGGGAGGGAAGGAAGGAAAAGGAAGGAAGGAAAAGGAAAAGGAAGGAAGGAAAAGGAAGGAAGGAAAAGGAGGGAAGGAAAAGAGGAAAAGGAAAAGGAAAAGGAAAAGGAAAAGGAAAAGGAAAAGGGAAAGGGAAAGGGAAAGGAAAAGGAAAAAAAATGAAGGGGGAACGAGGTGATGACAGAAGGGCACTGGGAATCAGAAGTCACCCTGGCTCCCTCCATGGTTGTGTCAGTGGGACAGGTCACTCTGAAGCCTTAGGCAAATATATTTAGAGTTTGACAGCAGCTCCTTAAACACTCAGCTGCCCAGACACAGCATAGATTAAAATTAGAAAGGGACCATTTTAACTAAGCAGCTCTTGTAGCAGCTTAGCAGGGCGTTAAAGTGCAAGGTCAAATTGTCATGCTATCTTATGCATCAAACACAGTAAGAAATTAGATCTGTATAGTCTTATTCATTCCAAAGGATCACAAAACTACGGGTGGGACATCTTCCCGTCAGCCCCAAGTCATTCACCTTTAGTGAGGTCGGGACAGCCATTTAAACAGCACACAGTGCACCAGTGCAGCCCAGCATATTAAAAAAAAAAGGTGGTGAAAAGACGTGAATTTAAAGCAGTGTGATTTAGTTACCGAATGGAATTTGTCTACAATACAAGAGTTAATATTCTCTTCATGCAATGTGTGGGGATGTTTCATTTATCAAACCTGTCAAAACCTGACTTTGCAGTAGAGACAGAAGTTACTGCACAGGCCTCCGAGACTGCAAATGCCACGGTGACAGGATGCAGCATCGCAAAACAATTCTCCTCTCTGGAAGGACAAGGTAGAACCGTGGCAGCACTTCTCCTCACTTACATGTACAGAGCAATGTCTAACATTGCATCATGTATTCACCAGGCATTACGATGGTGTGCATGGTCCAGAAAACAGACCCAGCGTTATAGCACAAACTATGTATTTGTTAGGACTTATTTCTAATGTCCTATTTCTTTTCTTCCTCAGATGTATTTGCTTTATCTTCCTTTCTCAGAAAACTAGAGTCTATTCAGCTAGTATAAAGCCACAACCTGCTTTCTAATGAAAAACATTAAAGCATTTTGCTTATCCTAACTCTGGATTAAGATATGCTAAAGCAGAAAAATAAATTTTAGTTTCCTGAGGCCCAGCCACCGTTAAGAACCCAGTGATAGCACGGTGGAGCAATATTAAGCATGCAGCTGCATTCTTGTCCTGCATCTGCCTTCTCAAGAACATTTTTTTAATTTACACAGTTATTGAACTAGGAGCATATCTTGAAATTCAAAGGACATTTCATCGCTGAGGTGACCCTGACCAAATGAGAGCTCACATGCTCAGTAAAGCGAGGGGGAGGGGAATCAGAGGAAATGTAGAAGAGATGTGTTTTATAAATAACAGTACCTTTCTTATTCAAGATATATCAAAGCTCCTTCCAAGAGAGCTAGTTATGCAAAGGCAAGGCTGTGACAATCACAGACAAAGGCAGCAGCCATTAACTCCTGCTTTTAAGAGCTGTGGATACTCTGTCACATAAATTATGTGGCTTTTGTACATGTTGAGTGGCTTTAGACCCCCAAAATAAACATTTAGGAGTTATTAAATGCTTCGAAATTCTGTGAGTTGCAAACAGCCTTTGACATTGCTTGAGATGACTTGCTGTCCTTCAAGGGAGGCTTATATCCTGTTATGCTCAAAGGTTATAATATTAGTTGTCATTTGCATACATATTTTTGTTTCCAAAAGCATGTGAAGCTTTGCAACTCTTGTCCTTCAGAGAGTCCAAGAAACAAAAGAAGAAGATTAGGGCTGCCAGGGGGATTTGAAGGAGCCAGAGGAAAGTAGAAGGGGCAGATAAAATAACCATGGTGGTTGTCCCTCTGCCTAACCTGCAAAGAAATCCACTCGCTCTATGTACATAGGAGGAAAACCAGGCTGAACACAGTTCTCTCTGAAAAGCCACCAGGCCCACAAGAGCCCACAGAAGCTTTTGCCTCCCCCAGCAAAGTACTGAAAATTGAGGACATGGCATAGACAGCGGACAGAGTCTACACACCGCGTTTAGCTTAAAATGTTCAACGGATGCATTTTCCGGAAAACCATACTTACAAACTTCCTACAGACATTATGCAAAAGACCTAGTTCCAGTACCATAACGGGGGGGCGGCGGGTTGTAAAGGCCTAAGGATTAAGTGCCCCTGCTGCTTGGTGGGATTTCAGCTGCTTTGAGCTTAATGAAGAGCAATTGCTTAGGATGACCTGGGAGAAACCTGCATTTGTTATCTTGCACGTGACCTTTCTTCAAACATTTAAATCGCAGGTCTGTATTATTGCTGAGACTGCAGGGGCATTTCAGGAACTCTGCCCTGAGCCTCTTTGTCCAAACAAACTGCCTGGTCATACACAAATCATACAAGTCAAACTCAAGTGTTGCCCATAAGCGACTATGAAATATATGGCTCCTTTTTCTCTCTACAAAAGGCATTTCTCTTTTCCCTCTTTCAAAGGAACAGGCTCCTGGGCTTTTAAATTGTTAGGAAATCACCATCCTGTAATCTAGTTAGCAGCAGCATACCCAACCCGCTGCAGGACGTTAGTGCGGTGGCACACTTCCCTCCTCTCCACATCCAAAGGATGCTCATGAGGCAGATAGCAGAGATAAAGGCACTTAGAGGCTCTTCAAAGCAAAAATGAAATGCTGTGGGCTTCATTCTGTGACTTACCATAAGCATTCAGCTCATTCCTTCCTTTGGGCTGCCCAAAATAGGAGGTGCAAACAGCTTAAGTAAAATTGCAACACAATTAACCAAAAGGTAGTTCCAGCCCTAACACGCAGTAGAACTACTCAGCTTACTAGCTTTCCACATCGCTACTGGGCTTTCAGGATGTTTCCCTGCATCATCTAGCTGTTCCTACTGCTGCCTTGGCAGGGTACGCACTGTATTCAACTGTAAGGTTGAATTTAATATTTAATTAATTATCAAAACCTGGACTTATTTTTTTCCTCTAAGGGTAAAAACCATCGAAGATGGACTCCAATAATGATTTGCTTCCTCATGCCAAGTGATCTTATGCTATCTTCATGGTGTGGGTGATCTGCCTTCAGATTTTTTGAATGTTATGTTGGGGTTGAAGGGTTAGAAGAATGCTACAACTTGCTCCTGAATTAAACCTGTTTTACTTTTTTGTAAAATAGACTTGGGCATTACTTGTAATTTCAGTACAAGGCAATTTTCAATCGAGAGTGTTATGTTTTTAAGGTGATGGTGTTATTTGGAGATAATACTATATAGCAAACCCAAGTTTGCTTCTAGGTTTCTATTACCGGCAAAATATGTTTCACAGGACTTATAAAAACCTTCTCATGCTTTCCTTCTTTACCTCCCACAGCGTAACTCTTTGCTATGCAAATTGTTGGTTCATAGTTAACAGCATATAAGTTCTCACATTGTGGGGACCCAGCTGTCATTTTTGCTAAATGCTCACAGGAAGCTCAGTTGTTTTTCTCCTTAGAATTGTAAGCTGGCCTGAAAAATGCTGGCTTTGGACTGTAAAGTCGTAACAAAAGCATTTCCATTAATATTAGCTTCCTGAAACTTTGTTATTTTCATTGTCAACACATTTGTTATTTTCTTCATTCATAAAATGTTAATCAACAGCCAGAGTCTTGTGGGTGGACTAGAAAAAGATAGCGCAACATCAGTTCATCTACTGTAATAGAGAAAATGTGAAAATAAATGACCAACTCACCTCCACTTTTAAGCAATCATTACCATAGGATTTGCAAATACTGTTAACTAAAAACACCTTGCATATTGGAAGTAAGCGGGATAAATTCCCTTTAAAAGTAAGTTTCAAACAATTTTAAAAAGGATTACGTAAGGTGGTTTTTAAAAGGCATCTCCAAACAAAACCAAAGACAGAAAGGCCCCATTGTCTCATTTTCCCTAGTTTAATACAAAGAAACTCCACTGATAATCAATGAAGATGTTCTAGTTCATATTCATGTAAATGAAAGAAGAACCTGCACATGCCCCTGTGAATTCAATGACAAATAAGAACACAAAGCAATAGATTAAAGACTCCCAATTGAATATGGGACTAATTTAACAAAGCGTCTATCCAGCAATTCACTGATTAGTTTCATCAAATCATTGTCATCAGTTAAAAGAACATTACACAGTACTAACAAAATATAATTTATTTTAGATAATGCTACTCTAATTCACTTTGACTTCATTGTTAGGTTGTTAATGCATTAATTTTTGCCCACTCCCTGCCAAAGACTTTAATCAGCAACCAAGTTCTTACTGGGAAAACAGGAAAAATTACAGTATTCAGCCTCTGATTTAATGCTGCAGATGTCAAAAACATTGAGAACACTGAGAACATAAATTAGAATAAAACATTTTTTTAAATAAGCATTTTGAATTTGCAAGAGATGCTGTGATTTTCTGTCCCTTTTGAGAAGGCAGCATCCTGACGAAAAGGGCGTTGTTCTACTGATTTTCCTAAGGAGACAGCAAAACCCCAAGAGTTAAGGAGAAGCCAA